GATATTTGGTCAATATTTAAAGAAGCTGAAGACGTGTACAAAAATAATACAGGTTTATTGGCAATTTAGATCAGATTATAGGAAAGAAACAGAAAATCTGAAATGAGCCAGCATCTGAGAATAGAGCAGAGACTTATTACATATGTCCTCCACATTGAAGTCCGTTCCGACGGTTTTCCTTCCTCTATGTTTATCCAGAGCAAGCAAACGCATGAACACGCGTGTTTGTTTTCCGTGAGACTTCAGAGGTGCGCAGCGGTCTCACGCTGCCGCAGAGCGCTAATTGGAGTGGCCTCATTTAGCGAGGAGTCAATAAAAAAAAAAAAAAAAAAAAAAAAAAATGGAGACGCGTCACGAGGACACCGTGTCAGGGCCTCCACAAATCTCCCGCGCACTCTCAACTTTAATGGCGTGTCAGACTTCACAACTGATGCGAAGGGGGTCACCGTGAGCCTATGCTTCACTCTAACGAACCTCCTCTCTTCCCCAAATCCCTGGTACCGCGGTAGATTAATGTCCCAAGCTGAGACATGGCTAAATAATAATAATAATAATAATAATAATAATAATAATAATAATAATAATAATAATAATAATAATAATAATAATTAATAAAGAGTAGAAGAGTAATAACAATATGAATAAAGAAACAAATCCTAGACACAATACAAGAATATAAACTTGCTCATGTTTAGAGGAGATTTAATCTACAGGTCTGATTACATTTTCATTTACACCTTTAGTACAGGCTAAAAATATGACAGTAGACAAGGCGTCTCCTCACTATAATAAGAAAGCAATGTTTCTGACATGCTTCATTCCGAGCATGAACTTTTAATAAATTCTTTACACATTCCATCATTTGAAGCACCTTAGCAATTCAGCTATATAAAGTTGTCCCCTCGTCCCCCACTCCAAATTAGACAAAACTTCTGTTTCTCAACTATTGCTTCAAATGATCTTTTATGCCTTTGCTCTGCCCTCGACGCTGACATCTGCACGCAGGAAGACGATGAGGTGGTGAACGTTTTGATATAGGCTATAACACATGGAGAAACAAATGCTTAGACAGGCTAATAAAATTATGTAAAATAAAATTTAAGTCCTTTCAGGGTTAATACCAGTTACGTAGTGACACTTATGAGATGATAACCCTTGTTTAAAATGCTAAATAGAATTTAATTATTTGAATTAGCCTGTCTTTCGGTATGCGAATAGTTAAAAAAAGGTCAATTGTAGAATAATAATGTGAAATATAGAAGAGATAAACAATTATCGAATATTAATTCCTGACACCATCTGGATTTTTGTTATATATATATATTTTTTTTTTTCCGATTGATTCTGGTATATGGAATCGTTTCATGGCTTCAACTGTGTAAAAAAGTGGCGGATTTATAAATGCCTGCGAACTAATAAAGGGCACGAAAGTCCGCTTGACTTGAATTCGACCTTTTCTGTATGGATCTCCAAGCGCAGCAGATACAGTATATAGATAGGGACGTTTTTTTTTAGGGGTGGGGGGTCATTCCCTAAATTGCATTTTTTGCAAAAGAACAACAACAACAAAAACATTCAAGTTAAATTCAAATGCAAGTGTCGTATTTATTGATTTGGTACTGCTCTGTAATCAGGAGGTAGTAATTACAGTTATATCCCTCCCTCCCCCCAAAAAAGAAAGAAAAAAGAAGCTGTAATTATTTTCTAAATGTTATTGTAGCCTATGCGTTTAAAAAAATGTCTGCAAAGAGAAAAAAAGTACTTCCCTCTGAAATCAGAACCTAAGGAAGCACGAGAAACAAACCTTCCCATGTTTCATTTTCTTTCCAAATGTGCCACGATAGCCTGCACCCATGCACCGACTGTTGTTTGTTGTCAAACAGACAATTCTGCCTCGAAATGTGTGAGCAGCAGCTTTCTGATGCGCAGATAAGCTGCAGACTGCGCCTGTACCTCTGCTAGTACACGCACACACACACACGCATACACACACACGCATACACACTTCAGGCTCGGTTTGCTGGCCACAAGTGAAGTGCTGCTGATAAATATTCATGACGGTGGCACTTGCGCCTTCTCGGATATCTGGAACGGTTGTCATTTCCAGACGTGCACGTAAATATATCTGAAGTAGATGTTTTGGATGCCCCGTGTCCCCCCTGTCCGCCTCCCACCCCACCCCGCCATTCTATTTGAGCAACTTGTCGTCAACACATTTTTTACGAGCTTTCTCCTTTTTATTCATTTATTTATGTTATGTATGTGATTGCTTGGAGTGCATAGGTTCACAGTGTAAAAACTGTTTGCAATTAAATACCATGTTCAAAGACCGGATTTTTTCTGTAAGTCGAACTGGCAGGCGAGACCAAAGGCGTTGCCAAGCAAGTTTTTTTACTGGGGTTCGTGCACTTAATAAAATCTCCCGATCCGATATCCAAGAAAAATGTGTGAACATTAAATAAAAAGAAATTGGCTAAATATCCACGATTGCGAATGACCAAATGCGTACAAAATAATAATAATAATAATAATAATAATAATAATAATAATAATAATAATAATAAACAAACTAAATTGTGTTCAGTGCTGTTTGTGCAGGTGAAAGTATTTCGTGAAGCTACATGTAATAATAATAAAAAATGCACTGTAAAAGTTTCAAAAAATCGTAGAAATGTTGCTTATCCATGTCTGAACACGGGGGCAGCAAGTTACACTGCAAAACATTTCTGTTGAGGAAACAAGAAAAATCTGTTTTTTAATTTACTGTTGGAAAAAAATGAAATGACAATTATTAATGCTTTTCACAATAAGTCCACTGACATTGCCTTACAGATTTGAAACGCCTTCTGAAAACAATCTGGTTCACTGGAATTAGACTGACCAACCAGGAAAAACAGGAGGAATCCACCCTGAACCAAGACGGGATACTATTTTTTTTTAATTATTATTTTTGTACAAAAAAAAAAAAAAAAAAAAAAAAAAGACACATTCTTAATGTTCTAAATTCAGGATTGTGTACAACAAACCTGCACCAAAACGCAAATGAATTGTTTCGATTTGTGTTCTGTTCAAAGGCAAGTCTATAAATTATTGTTGCTTCATTGCATGGTTAAACCGTTTTGGAGTGGTGCCACTATTATTTAGTTATTCAACACAGAACTTATTGGGTGGTTGCTGACAGCAACGCACAGTTTAGAATGCAACAGAAATGTTTCAACTTTAATGTGGTTCTGGAAAAAGATCGTCTCATGCTGAAGAAGACTTGAAGCTTGTTATTTCGACCATGTATTTTAGTCAGAAAAAAATGCGGTTCTCCTGTCTTACAAGTCGTTCCCTTCCGCCTATTTTTAATTCCACATTGACAACAAACTATTGGAGGACATTTTGGTATTTACTAGTTTATTTTAAGTGAAAAACCGCAATTGGGAATTATTTACATTCCGACATTATGGCCCAATGGGGTCTAGTATCTCTCTTGCATGCCTGTTGTTGTTGACTGTAAAGTTCTGCACACAATCAAAGAACAATCAACTCAGATTTGCAGCTATGCGCAGCAGTGGGTGAGCAGGAATTCATACAAAACTCCTAACATCTTGGGAAGTCTTTGACGCTCCAGCGCTTCCCTTTTGTAAACCATGGCGACGGAGCTGGATTTCAATGACAAACAAAGCCGTTTTATCTGAAAGTCGCTCATAGTTTTGAACGAAATGCACGCGTCCACTTTAATTTTTGTTTTTGTTTTGTTTTAATCTATAAAGCTGCTAAGTGACTTCCTCGGCCTGGGAAGTGCGAGTGTTTCTCCTGTCGCGGTGCCTCATTGGTGCATCTGCACTGAGACCAGATAGATATATAGTGTTAAATAGAGTCGAAAAAAAGTCATTTTATTGCCATCCTTCATTTATCTTCACGTGTAATAGTCCGTGAAAAAGGAAATATGAATACATTTCAATACATTTCCAGCATAATCATCTCATATGAAGCTTGCTTTGCTGCTATATGTTGCGGCGTTTTCTTTTCTTTTCTTTTTTTTTTTCGTTAAGGGTTTACATTTTTATTTCGGCTGCATGTGTCTGCAAACTGACAGATCGCGGCGGATCCGTGCGCCCTGGCAGTGTTAACCATGATCAGTGGCGGCTGCTGATGTGATCTCTGCCTAATGGGGCGGTCAAGCAAGCTGCAGCCAGGAACAATGAAGTGTGTGTGGAAAAAGGAGGGATGAGTGGAGAAGGGGAGGAGGGGTCCCACATTGACTCCCAGGCTCTCCCTCTCTCCCTCTCTCTCACTCTCTCTGTTTCTCTTTCTCTCTTTCTGTCTCTATCTCCCTCTCTGTCCCTCTCTCTTTTTTTATCTTAATCTAGGATGGGAAATCCGGAAGAAAAAAAAACGCAAGAAGAAAACGGAAAAAAAAGAAAATAAATTAGATTTGAAAATTAGATTCCCGAACAATTAAGTAACGCAAAATAGCTTACTCCGGTTTTATCCACGGAGGAACAACAGCCGTGATTAATCGATTTAATTTGCGCATTACTGGAGGGCAGAGCGGTGGATGTTAATTTTGGATAAACAGAAGATCCAGAAGCAGCAGAAAGAAAGAAAGAGGGGGGAAGTGAATTTAGTAGTTATTATCGAGTGTCAGGAAAGTTCTAACACACACACACACACACACACACACACACACACACACACACACACACACACACACACACACACACACACACACACACACACACACACACACCCTCGTCATCTCTCCATTACTCTCTCTCTCCTGTCTCTCTCTTTCACACACACACACACACACACACACACACACACACACACACACACACACACACACACACACACACACACACGTCATTATAATGAAGACTTTAACTTATTTGCTTTAGGATCCACGTAAATAAATTACTTTACATAGGAAAAGATCTAATTTGGTACTTTTTTTTCTGTATAATTTAAAAAGTCAATCCCCAATAATCTCCAATGAAATGCATGCTCTGTATTTTTTACAGTCCTTTAATATAGTACGAAATGTATCCAAACATTTTTTTTTCATTATTAATATTATTATTGTAAACTAAAATTTGACATACTGTACGAGCGCATTTCTCCATAAATACCGATCATATTCTAACATGTTACCGGCCCTTTTACATGCGGATAAATATGGAAAAAAATCCATACTTTACATGGAATAATACTTCCTTTCAGACAGAGCAATTGACAGATTTTTATATATATATTTAGCACGTACATAAACAGATTGACACGAATTTTTTTTTTCTTCACTACACGATTCATCGACATGACATTAAATAACAACAATGATACTCGGTGCTATTCAAACTGGACCTTAATTGGACGAAAATTAAGAAAAAAAAAATAAAAAAATATGCTGCACTGGATAGGCTACAAAAAGCACATTAATACTAAGAGTCGTTTAGGTCGACGTGTAGACTGTAGTAATACTGAATAATTCACATTTTGGTACACAACTAAACATTCTTGTCCCCCACAGTAACCTTAGAGGCCATCCTCATATAGCTAAGGGACCGTTACATTTTTCACAAATCCCTCCCACCCCCTTAAAACTGTGATATTTACAAAATAAAATATTACATTTTGCTTTTTTTTTTCTTTCTTGCTGTGGGTTCCAGTTTGGTGAAATCCATATTTACAAAAAAGTAAAAAGCAAAAAAAAATAAAGAAAGAAACAAAAAAATCAGGCCTCTACTCGGAGATAGCATGCTTTTTCTTTTGAGATCTGCTTCTGCAAAGTCTCTCAGTAAAAGGAGGAGCTGACCGTGTTTCTGTCCATGCATGATGATAGTCTTTTACTTCACCTCCCCTGCTTTATACTCAGTCCATCTTTCTGACTTAGAAAGGTCGAAAAAGTTTATTTGTGGTTTTGTTTGTTTTGTTTTTTTTTCCTCATGTCTTCATAAATTTTCCATTGTCTTTTGTGCGTTTTTTCAAAAGTATTTTACACGTACCATTCATTGAAATTTGACGACAGCGTGCTGTGGCTGGTTGTGTGGTGGACTGCTGAAGCTGCTGGTGATATGGAGCTGGTGCTCTGGTTCTCTGTGGACGGTGACACGATGGTGGGAGGCGTGGAGGACTCGTACCCTGAACTGGCAGCTGGGGAAGGCTGCGACCCAGGGTTGGTGGATTCGTGGACCTGGGGTAGTGAAAAGGAGGGAATGGGGGGTTGCATGGGGGTGTAGTACACTCGCTTTACTTAGAAGCAGAAAGCAGAGAAGAGATGCTATTTTACATCTGACATGACTGCTTTGGACATGCTCACAAATCGAAAACAAAGTAAAGCCCAATTATTCTCATTCAAATCCTAATCTCATTTTTCGCTTGAGAAAAGATAGGATTAACTTTCTTTATCTTGCTAAAACTAAAACAAACAAACCACCAAAAAAAAACATTGCAACAAAAAAATTATACTTTTATCTAATTTTTTAAAAAATAAATAATATTAACTACACTAAAAAGAGAAGAAAGTGACAGTCAACTGCAAGACATAAAAGGAGTTTCTAATGTTATTTTGCAAAGAGAAAAACACACACACACATGCGCGCACACACATATATAATTTACAATATTTCTTTTACCTTCATGTGTTTTCGGAGGGAGCTGGGATGCGTGTACGACTTGTCGCACATTTTGCACAGATATGGCTTGTCCGACGTGTGGACGTGCATGTGTTTCTTGCGGTCACTGCTGTTTGCGAACCTCCTGTCGCAGCCGTCGAACTCGCACTTAAAAGGCTTCTCACCTAAATAATGCAAGGAATAAAATATGTTTTTTGTTGTTGTTTTGATTTTTAAAGATGATAAAATGTTTTTTTTTCACAAGTTGTCATCAAACAGTGTGCAGTAAGCTACGCATGCACTGCATATAGTTCATTAATGTTAAAATTACATTTAAACAATATTTATGCAGTGAAGTATTTTCTGTAGACAGCTGTAAAGCATCGTGTGTCAGTTTGCAGGCTCCAACTGCCCCGCTGTAGTAAATAACCATCCGGATCGCATGCATGTTTCGGATGGGATTTTGTCAGCACCGATTTGGCAGGATTGTTGTTTTTTTTTTTTTTTGTTTTTGTTTTTTTTTTTGCCATTTCTTACCGGTATGAGTCCTTTTGTGAATTTTTAGATTTTCCGATCGGGCAAACACTTTTCCGCACCCGGGAAACGGACACGGAAAGGGCTTTTCTCCGGTGTGTACTCTGATGTGATTTACAAGTTTGTATTTGGCTTTAAAGGGCTTCCCTTCTCTGGAGCAGTCCTCCCAAAAGCAGACATGGTTCGTCTGTTCAGGCCCCCCCACGTGCTCCACTGTCAGGTGGGTCACCAGCTCGTGCATGGTACTGAAAGTTTTGTTACACGACTTTTTGGGGTTTGTCAACTGCTCCGGCTCGATCCACTTGCAGATGAGCTCCTGCTTGATGGGCTGCCTCATGTAGCGGAAAAAGGCCCCCGCTCCGTGGTGCGCAGCCATATTCATGTTCATGGGGCCGTAGCCGTGGAGCTGAGTGGACGCGTAGTGGTCGGAACGCGGGCTCGTGACATGCCCATACTGATCAGCCCGGCCGTACACGTCCCCCGAGAAGCCCAGTCGCATCTGGCTGTTCACCACGTTGGAGGACGCGTGGCTCGCCGCCTGCTCGTGGAGCCCTGGGAAGAGCAGGTGCCCCGCCGCGTCCGAATGTCCGTGCGGCCCCCCGAAGCTGCCGGAGGCAAATAGGCTGTGCTGCGCCCCAGCCGCGTCCCCGAAGCCCCGATTTCTGAAGAGAAAGTCCCTGGTGGAGTTGAACGCCGCGGTGGAGTAGGAACCAACGTGGGTCGGGTGATGGTGGTGTCCGAGGGCGGCCGCCGCTGCATAGCCGGGAGCCTGGGATGAGAACGCTGTCTGCCCGGAGCTGATGTCGTGGGAGCTGTGGTTGATCTTGAAGGCGCCCATGCCGTCCGCGAAAGGGTTGATCCCCAGCGCCACTTCCCGCTCCGCCACCTCTCCTGTTGAGTGATGTCGAGAGGAGCCGAAAGTAGTGACTCCTATGGTGGGGTACTGCGGTCCTGCGTCCAAGAGCATCTTCAGTCTTGACTCTTCGAGACGACTGAGCGCAGAACTCAAAGAAAACACGCGCAGATATTCTTCCTCCTCCTCTCTCTCTGCAGCTCGTCTCTTCTGAACTCGAATCCAACGAATTCTGTTTACTTTTTTTTTCGTTCACGACGGAAGGAATTCCCCTGCACCGCTCATCCGATGCGTACGCAAAAATCATGTATTTACTACATGTAATATTGTCTTTTTGCGGTTTATCTTCCTGTGGCGCTACTTTCACCTCCTCAGTCAGACGGTGAGCTCTAGACTGATAGTCGCAATCATTCCTGCAGATAAATGAATTGAAAAGACAACACAGTCCAGCCCTGATGAATGGGAGAGGAGAGGGGGCGGTCACGTGGGAGCTGCAGCTGCTCGTTCATTGGTGCTCCCCAATAACATGCACTCACCAAATAACAATCCACCATGCTGTGGCCCGCACGTCCATGTCTCTTGACATCATCAGTCGCAGATATTTTCAGATTGCTGACTGGGAATTTAGTTAAACGGCTAAATAGTAGAGGGGAAAAACAAAACAAAACAAAAAAAACATACTACCTCAGAACATAAAGAAAATGTGTGATAACCACAAAGTGTTACATTTTCTTTGTCAACCATTAAATTGGGAAGAGCAGCCCTTTGATGCGTAATTAGAAACATTTAGTTCAATTAAGCACTTTGACGAACGGACAAATATCGTCTTGTCTGTCCGTCTAATGTTTCATAAAAGAAAAAAAAAACACATCTTTGGCCTGAATGGGCTTCTAGTGGTCAGGAGAGTTTTTGATCTCAGACAGAAGCTCTTCAGTTTTGCCGGAAAATTGGAGACTTTTTCATTTCAAATATGTTTCTCTAAAGACCAACAGGGAGTCTCGTCTAACTACTGACACAACCTTCTGCGTTTTGTTTTAGTATGAAATTATCACGTTACCTCAGAGGATATCAAAATTTGAATACCTTGTTTGGCTGTCTAAATTGCGGAACATCTGTGAATTCAGTTTCCACGTTAGTGTTTAACTTGGACCTGCACCGCAATCCCTAATGCGTCCATCGCGATTCGCCTGTTTGCGGTAGAGCAACATGGCCCCTTCTTTGCAGGCCAGTGGTGCATATAGTCCATGGGGTTCTCGAAGTTTTCAAGTGGGATTTGCGGTGTCCTCTTTGCAGGAGCCTCCGGGTGCTGGTGGTCAAAGCCATTATGGGTCACTCGAATTGTGTTCAAGGATCTGAACCCTGCTTTTCCAAATCAGTCTTGGAGACCCAAAGAGGAGAAGACTTAGTATGAATATGCAAAAGAAGAAAAAAAATACTGCAAGAAAACATAAAAGTTCAGGAGTAGAGATTTGAGATTTGGGGACGCTTTCTTAAGGCATGAACTTAATATGCATGACAAAATTCAAAGAGATCTCCTTTGATATCAAATTTGGAGGCGGCACAGCAGCAGGTAAATGAGCAACAAGTGAGAATACACATAAATCTGGATGACAAAAATTGTAGAGCAAAAGTTATTTAAATGAATAAGAGACTTAATTTTAGGGTGCAAAGAATGTTGCATAGTTAAAAAGAACAATTCTTGTTTAGCGCAGTAACTATGCGCAGAATTTAAATGTCACCACCATGTTTATTGTCACGGATTTACAGCAGATTTAAAGCCAACACCACTTTATGAGATGTCGCTGCAATATGTGGCGTTTATGTTTATGATCCTGTGCAGCTTTCCTGCCTACATGTCGCCAAGAGCTACTCGGTGACTCATTGAGTGAGTGCATGCTCAACTTGGATCAGAAATAGCCCCTTGCCGACCACGTTTTGCATTACACTGCTCACTGTTGCTGTGATGCCCCTCTTTGAATTCTGCAGCTGTGAGTCGGTCGCGCGTAAAGGCCTTTTAATAAACGTCTTCGGGATCCACCGCGTCTCCAAATATTGACTTATGATCTAATGCGATGCTGTCAGCGAAGGCACTGACAGATCAATTCGTGGCTAATGTAAAATAACAGTGCAGTTTTGTCTTTCATTGGAAGTACTGAGAAATGATAATCAACCAGGCACGTGCATTAAAATTCATTTACCATTGCTTTGTTTCAGTTTTCCGAAAAGGAAAGCCATTATTCGGACCTCTTTTTAGCACAAACATAAAAGAAAACAACAAGATTAAATTAATGCTTTAAGGATAAATTTCATCTTAAACTCAAAAACAAATATAAAAGCTTAAAGTTAACACAAAATCGATCTGTTCTCCTTATAAAAACTTTTAAAAGCGCTTTTCTTCTTAACATTTGAGGTTTTTATCATAAATATTAAACACTCAATACTGTCCAAATGTTGAAAAACGTGAGGTGTTCAAACACCTTTTAGAAAATAAGCAGGTTAAAAACTTATAAAGCGGAGAAGTGATGGGAGATTTGTTTAGATAACAAGAAGGAAAATCCACATTTCACCGCCGAGGGAATTGTTATGGATTCTGCAACTTTGTTTCATGAAAGTCTAATCTTGCAATATCTGCTCACTGTTATATTAACTTTTTTTAACGATCACATTTGTCAGTGAAATAAAATAGAATGTCAAGCTAAAGGTTGCTAAAAAAAATACCCCAAGCTTTTTTTCTTTCTTTCAGTATTCAGATCAAACCAGAAATTATTATATAAGAGAATGTTGTTTTCTGTGATACTCACAGCATACACTCGTATTAGTTTGGAATTAAAGTCTTCGTCCGAACCACCTCCTGTGATCCTCATCTGCTGCCATCCTTCGGTCTAACGCAAAGGGGGGAAAAATCGCTCCGAATCATAACAACAGGTCCAGTCCATTCCATTTTTCATCCTCTCCGGGAGCATGGCCGCGGGTCGCCCGAATGGTTCAGCCACTGAACACACACAGACACGGATCCGGATCTCCCTGGGGCTACAGCGGCGAGCCAACTCCTCTGCAGACGCTGCAGAGCAGGGGCGGCTGCGTATTTTAATGCGAAGCTTCTTCCGAAGCGCTTATTAACTATTTTCTTTGCGTCGGTCTATTTTACAGCTCGACACGCGGTGCGATTCTTTGCACAACTTTTTTCCTACCTCTTCACCACTATCAGCGATCATTTTACGTGCGTGAAATTGTGCGTAATTTGCGCGTATAGTTGGGGCTGCGCGCGTAGCGGTTCAAAATGAAGATATCACTGCATTATTTATGATCTACATAATTTTATAAACATATACGTCAATATGCAGGCTATTTTATGTAGCTGCGGAAAAAAAAATAAGACGGGTGAGGGTGTATGATTTAACGACAGCCTTTGTTTTCTGCTTCAACATGAAAGGACACCGTATATCCAGATAAACTTTTTAATTGTTTTATTCTATGATAACCTTTGCACAACTATTTTTTGCAAGCGCTGCCTCCAGCACAGCGCATGCGCACTGGCTGCTCGCTGTCACTAAGACATTTTTCATTACGTTGGGAACTGTCACTGGTGACGTCAATCACAGAGCTCTGACCAATTAGAGCGCGGGGTGATTGTTTGGCTCCACGGGCTGCAGCGCCTACCATGAATCTCTATTCAGTATCAAAGCGTCCTGCTGCTGCCTCTCAACCGAATGGGATTCCATGTTGTCTGCAGATAGACTTAACTTTATAAAGTTTTTTTTTTTCCTTTATTTTTTTTTTTCATTGCGATTAAAATATATTTGCCATCATCATTATTATTTTGCCTGCTGTCAAGTTATTCTAAAATTAGGAAGTAATGAGCGTGGATGCTTTGGGAAGCCCCGTGATGGACCCTGCGTTTTCCAAACGGAACACGGCGCTGAGATTAGTTGACTTGGCAGGGGCTCACCACCATCACCATCATCACCACCATACCCCTCAGAGCGTGACAGGCTTCCCGGGGTTCGGCAGCCATCCACACTCAATGGCTCACTCGCACCCTGGGGAGATTACTGCGGAACCCCGCCTGGGGCCGAGTCCATTCGGGCCAGAACACATGGGGCACTCCGCGGCCCTCAAAATCAGCCCAGCCCATCATTATCCTCACCACCATCACCACCACCACAATCATCATATGGCAGGCCACAGTGAAGTGGTCTCCAGTCAAACGGGAGCTTTTGGCCCGGTTCAGCCGTCGTCGGTCCCTTATTCTATGCCCCATACGGCCCAGGCTCTATCCGCAGGTAGGGATTTCCTCATCCGGAGAGATCTGACGGCTCAAGCCATGCCGGTACTGACCGACCAGACTGCTGGTCCAGCTTCTCACCACGGAATGTTTGTCTCAACAACAGGTAGCTATCCCGGACACTATGGTCACCACCCTGACGCAGGGAACCACACCACCCTCTTCTCCGGACTCCACCACGAGCAGCCTTCCAGCGGATCACCGGGTGGCCAGGCGCTGAATGGACAAATAAGGTTAGGACTACCTGGAGAAATGTACGTTCGGTCTGATCACTTGAGTCAAGTAGCAAGCTCCAGGGCTGATCCCTTCTCCGCCTCGCCTCTGCACGGCTACGGCGGTCTGAATCTAAACATGAATCTCGGCGCTCACCACCACCACCACCACCACCACCCGCACCATCCCCACCACCACCACGGAGGACCGGGGGCTTTTTTCCGCTACATGAGGCAGCCGATAAAGCAAGAGCTGATTTGCAAGTGGCTGGAGCCGGAGCACTCGCCCAAGAAACTCTGCTCTAAAACTTACAGTACCATGCACGAACTCGTCACGCATGTGACGGTGGAGCACGTCGGAGGACCGGAGCAGGCGAACCACATATGTTTTTGGGAAGAGTGTCCGAGGGAAGGCAAGCCGTTTAAAGCGAAATACAAACTGGTGAATCACATTCGAGTACACACCGGTGAGAAACCGTTTCCCTGCCCCTTTCCTGGCTGCGGTAAAGTGTTTGCAAGATCCGAGAATCTAAAAATTCATAAAAGGACACACACAGGTAAGTGGCTAAAAAAATGCATACACATAAAATGCTTTGAATGTTTTAAAATGCATGGAGTGAAAATGTCAAGTTGCATGAATAAATTATTAACGTCTAAAGCTATTTTAGCAATATTTTCAAATTTGCTCCGATTTTAAACAGTTCGAAAACGCTGCAATAACCCGCCTGCACGCAACAGGCACCTGTTGTAAGAGTGTATTGCAAGTTTCTCAAAGGACGGGTTTGAAGGGGGGTGGAGGGATTATTGTACAGCTCACTCAGGCGTTTGACGGTTCAAACCTCTTGTTTACACCGCGGTACAAAAGCTGGAGGCCCACGTCACGTCTTATGTGAGCAACTCAGTGTGTGCCAAACCATGACTGGATAGCAAAAGTCGGAGAGAGATGCATCTTTCACAATAACTGATACGGTGATGTTTCTTTATTAAAATGCTGTATTCTTTTTTCACTTATTTTGACGACTGCTTTTTAATTACATGGTTTGGAGTGCTTTGCATTCAGTCACGAGATATATATATATATTTTTTTTTCTGCCTTTTTTTCTGCACTGCATCTGCGCGTGATGAAGAACTGTTTCAAGTAGTAGTTTGCAAGCCAAATGGAACAGGTTGACTTGTGCAGATCAGATTAGAGTATACTAGTATATAAGGAGTTTGCATACTGACTCGTGTGTGTGCTGCCCAGATGTAGCATTGAAAAAAAAAATCGAATGGGTCAATATGGCTGCCTGCCTCTGTGAGCCAGAAGGAAAATAAAGGCCTCAGAATGTCGAGTCAGACTTGTAAATGATTACAGTGACTACAGCACTCCCTCAGCCCCCTCCACCCACACACACACCACCCCTCCTTCTTCTGCTCCATTTCTGCACCCTCCAATGTATTATTCATATCATTTGCTCACATTACCTAAGTACAAATCTGTTGAATTATTTCTGTGTGTTGACTCCCGAGGGGCCTGGTCTTTTTGGTATCATGTTTAAAACCCAAGCTGAAAGTGTGGTTATGACTAGGGTCTGCCCCTGGGGTCTGTTTCCTCGAACGGTTTCTTGTACTACACTAATATCCTTGATTGGCTCTCTCAACCCAACAGCTGAAGGTCAAATTGATATTCAACCCGCAAGTGTAATTAGACAGAGGCAATTACATATTCTCAAAAGCTTTAATCGGAGGAGGAGAAGAAGAAAAAACTCAGCGGTGGATGATTTCCGTCTAATTTATTCGGATTGTCTTTTTTTCACCTCTTTCTCCCTCACTTTTCACTCATATTTAATCAGAAATACTCAATAATAATACAAAAAAAAAGCCATTTTAGATTCAGTACATATTTGAGGGGCTGGAAAAGAATCGGGCAGTCTGTGCTACCAATCAATATCCCGAGGATATTGAGTTGCTCTTAATATTTATCGGCGTTTTCAGTCAGGTGTAAGTCGACAGTGGCCAGGTAAAGACACGGGACAGCAGGAGCACCGGAAACCCGTCCCAAAAGACTCACATCTCCAGAACACTTTAGACAATGCAACTATGGACATGATACATGGATGTAAATGTTAGAAAATTTTGATTTGCAATGAAAACCTGTAAACAAACAACAAACAAACAAATAAATAAATAAATAAATAAATAAATAAATAAATAAATAAATAAATAAATAAATAAAAGTTTCCCCAAATGCATCAACCCTCCCAAAAAAAATGTCAACTTCAGGGATTCATATTGCTTTTGAAGATAATAGTAATTGGCTGTTTGTTTGTTTTTTTATTTTTATTATTATTATTTTACCCCAATGCAAGCAAAAAAATAAGTCAACAGAGAAAAAAATATCAGTTGATTATCTTGTGTATATTAGAACTAACAAGTTTCAGATTCATTCAGTTGTTTATATAGCTACACGTGTAGCTACAATTCAAAACATGCACTCTTATTTTGCAATATAAGTAGGTATAATTCTTTTCCATGTACAGAGAAAAATGCACTTAATCTTGAAATATTATGTCCACAAAATGCAATTAAAGACATAACTAAACTATTCATAGTGATGGTACGACTTTTGACTGATTATGCAGTCCATTATATATCAACACAACCGATCACAGGTCAGATTCAGCTGTAAATATAACACATTGCAGTCAAATGCAATTGATGCCAACTGGTAAAACGCTACCTATCTACGGACGCTCAGCAGATTTTGTCCCTCGTTTGGAGCAAACAAATGAAACGCTGTTGTATTTAGAAACAGGAACCAACACTAATGAGCAACATCAAATATTTAATGCATTTTATGTCTTATTGTGTCTCCACGCTGCAAACAGGCGAGAAACCCTTTAAGTGTGAATTCGACGGCTGCGACCGGCGCTTCGCCAACAGTAGCGACAGGAAGAAGCATTCCCACGTGCACACCAGCGACAAGCCCTACAACTGCAAAGTCCGGGGCTGCGACAAGTCCTACACGCACCCCAGCTCCCTGCGGAAGCATATGAAGGTGCACTGCAAGTCCCCCCCGCCCAGCTCGGGCTATGAGTCGTCCACTCCCTCTCTGGTGTCCCCGTCTTCGGACTTGGGTCGGGAGCCAGCCGGGGCGCAGTCGATGGTGTCAGAGCCGCCGGTGGGGGCATCTCAGCAGCAGCAGCCAGCTAATTTAAGCGAGTGGTACGTGTGCCACAGCTCAGGTGCGAGCGGTGGCCAGACACCACCCAGCGGCCACTCCACGCCCGACCCTTCGGAGGAACCTGCTTACAGGAACCCCCAACCAAGGGACGCGTTTTGAGTTCCTCGCCAGCACTCATTTCCAAACACTCAACTTCTCAAATGGTTTGGCGTTAGTGCCTATGTACCTGTGAGGGCCCTCCGGTCCACTCTCCTCCACATACCCCCAGTCCCTTGTTTTGTTTTGGATAAGCCACCAAAACTGGTACTCAGAGCCAAGAGACGCACTTAACTTCAATGGATGGAAAATGCGCAATCCTTCCAGACGTGCTTTCAAGTAACAGGAGCATATATTATTATTATTATTATTATTATTATTATTATTATTATTATTATTATTATTATTATTATTATTATTATTATTTTGAAGTTTATCCAAAACTGATGGATGGGTGCTTCCCCTGCGAGTTGTTCCACTTGTGGAGAGTCGTGTTAATCTCATTAGACTGTCGTACATTATTGTATGCTGTAGGCATGAGGATGTGCAACTTTTTTTTTTTTTTTTTTTTGTAAAAAAACAACAAAAAAACAAAAAAAATACTTTCTGCCTTCAGTATAATTTTTTTATTTATTTTTCAATCTGAAATGGAGGTATTTTTTAGGATCGAACCAAAGTGCATGTTTTCAAAACCGGAGCAGAATTGTACATTTGTAAATTTTGTACAAGTTTTAATGTGTTTGGATGTTGACTAGATTTGTAAGGAGCGGTTTACATCTTTTGTATTATTTTATTTTATTTGCAATGGATTTGTGCAAAAAAAAAGAAAAGAAAAAGGAAGAAAAACAAAACGCCCCAGCTGTTTCATAAGCTTACAGTATTTCGTATATGACGTCAATTATAAATGTTTTATCAAAGTAAAAAAAAAAAAAAGAAAGAAATCTGGTGATTTTTGTATCATTGTCTGTTTTTAAATTTATTTTTGTTTTATCTTAAAATTGAGCACTAAATGCGTACCGAACTGCCTTGTATTTTGTGAGTATTTGGAATAAATCTTGTATGAAAGTGAAACAATCTTAAGTCACGCAGATCTGTGGGAAATAGATTATTTTGTAACATATGAACAAAAAGAAAAGTCAACATTTCTGCTGTCTTAATACTTGGTTTGAATAGAATTCTCATGTGTGTATAAATATATATACATTTTTTTCAAAATTATTTTTTTTACAACACAGATCTTTTGTCGAGTTTTTGAACCCACAGAACACCACTAATTACCATTACAGTTTTAATTTTTTTTTTGTTTTTTTTTTTTTACCAGCGCAAGAGGGAAAGTATCGTGCATTGTGCTCTACTCGTGTTAAATCTTACTTACTCAGCTCAGCTTTGCTTTGACCCAGACTGTGGGCTGCGAGTTTGATGAAAGGCTACAATATTCGGATCCAGACTTCAAAGAGCCATTTTTGCACAAAGAAACCATTTTTTTTCTTTTTTTGCACAACGGCGAATCCTCATGGTGAATTAAGATTTCTATAGCAATAGCCAAGTCAAACTCAAATGATATGGGGCCAGGTCCCAAGGACTCAAAAGCAGGCTCCAAAGAATGTAATATTTGCTACCCATGGGGTAGGAAACGGTAATCTACGTCCTTTATGCTGCAGACCAGAGCGGCAAAAAGAAAGGTGGGGGGGGGGGACAAAAATATATTCTTTTGCTTAAGGCCTACTTTAGGAAAAATCAAAGGAGTGGCCGCCGAAACGCAGTTGATTGTCACCGTAATGGACTTCTTTTGCAAAACGAGGCTCAAAGAAGACGCTCATATTTCTGCGTCTATACATTGGCGATAGCGACGCGTTTTAATTGCAAGGAGGGAAGTTAATTGTCCTCGACAGAGAAGTGCGAGAGGAATATTTTAATTTTCTTGAAATTGTAGTGAAAGTAGGTCGAAGAAGAACTCAGCTGTTGGTGGAGGGAGGGGGGACTTCTGGCGGCGCATAGAGTTTCACTCTGGCCTTGACTTAACCAGAAGAGGGACTTGGGGGAAACGGGGTTGGGGGAACGGGAGGGAACGGCAATACTGATACTTTTACAGAGTTTGGTTAAGTTCATGACGGAAAGCAGTTCAAAAGAAGAGAAGGAGGAGGAGGATGCCTCTCTCCTTGCAACAGCTCCTGTCGCTTGCGCAATAAGAGCGATAAAGAGAGAGAGAGAGAGAGAGAGAGAGAGAGAGAGAGAGAGAGAGAGAGAGAGAGAGAAGGAAGAGTTGGATCTCAATTGAAAGCGATTCTTTGAAGTGGGGAGTTAGTATCAGAGGGATTCTTTCTGGGTCGTCTGAACGACGTTGATGACACGGAAAGCCTTTTGTCGGCGGTTTGCTGGGATCCTCTCTCTCTGTCTCTCTCTCCCGCTCTCTTTCTTTCTCTCTTTCTCTCTCTCTGTTTCTACTCTGAGCATCAAGATGGAAAATAATGTGTGACGTTTAAAAAACAAAGGTTGTTTGGTTAGAAAATAAGTAAGAGGGCGAGCTTGGATAAACCAGTGAGGGACAGACAATTATATAAAAAAAAACAAACTTGTTTTTTCGGATTCGGTTTCGAAGTTTGAATAAAATTATTTTAATTTGACAGTGGAAGCTACAGTTACACAGAGCATCATGTCTGCACGTTTGTTAGCGCCTGTACTGCAGTCGCTTATTGAGCTTTAAACTTATTAACCCTACAACACCAATCGAGAGTTGCTTTGACAAAGTTGCTGTTGTCCCTTAAAGTCTGCTGTCTGGAATGGATGGATGCAGCTTCTACATAGATATGGCTGCGCTGCAAAACTAACAGAAATATTTTCTGAACAGGCGATCGATATAAACTTATCGATCAGAGAAGCATATTAGCTATCTTTTGTTAAATGACTTTCCGCCATATGGAAACATACAATTGTAGGCCTACTTCATATTCTTTTGGCTGTGGAAATAGGAAAATTACGTCAACATTATTGACCAAGGCGTCATTTTTTATGCAAAAAACAACAACAACAACAATAAGCAGAAATACAGCGTCATTGAAATGCAGTTTTATTATTTACGGTTTTTCTATGTGTAGTGTAAATAATAATAATTAAAAAAAAAACATGACCATAAATGCTTAACGTATCAAATATGGTGCTGATCCAAGACAAACCCCAGCGCTGTTTGTAAAAATCTATCTATCTATCTATCTATCTATCTATCTATCTATCTATCTATCTATCTATCTATCTATCTATCTATCTATCTATCTATCTATCTATCTATCTATCTATCTATCTATCTATCTATCTATCTATCTATATATATATATATATATATATATATATATATATCTATATATATATATATATATATATATATATATATATATATATATATATATATATATAGTCAATTAAGTTTGCGAGCTGCATTATTTGAAAAACACATGATTGTGAAAATGTAAGATATCCAATTTATTACATAAAAAATAATCAAAAGAGTCATATGCAAACTGTTTTTGAAAATAAATACATCATCATGAATGCCTTCACTATTCATTATGATATATATTTTTTCAAATTATTGAAACATATTACCAAACATGTCTTACTAATCAATTTTAAGTAATTTAATTTCTTGAGAGTTATCTGGATAATTTGTGATCAATGTGTTTTCGAGTGAGTAAATTAATAGTGTTTAAATCTTTGAAACACGTGAATGCATCTAGGTATTAACTGATGGTTTGAATTTAAGAAGGAGGAGTTATGATCTTCTTTACGCACTGATTCTGTTGGGGACCTTTGATCTGAGAACAAGGGTGAAGAATCAAGAACAGGTGTGTGTGTATGCGTGTGCGTGTGTGTGTTTGTGAGCACTAGAGACCCTGGTGATCACGAACAGTCCCTGGAAACCAGTGGCCGAAGGGCAGTTTCACCGGAAATACATATCAACATTAATTACCGTTTTTCGATAATCTGAAAAGAAATGGGAGGTTCTCAACTTCCAAAGTGTTACAAAAGCAAAAGAAAACGAATCTATTTCATTTCTTGCTAGAGAATCTCACCGCCACGGCTGCGTCCATCACAAGGTCTCATTTGAGTGTGAAATATCATTTCTTTGTAAAATAATGGAGGCGGTAATCCGACTTCCGGAAACTGTCCGGCGTTATTGAACAAAGCCCCTTTAATAGGGGGATTAGCAGTCTTGGAGTAAAAAGGACCCCCCGCGCCCCCTTCACCTCCCTCCCCACACACACACCGCTTTCCACCTCCCTCTTGTACTCCACGCCTATACCCAACTCCAACTCAAAACCATCAGCACTTCTGGCACCAACCAGGTCACAATGATCAGGAATGAAGTGGCCGGAATTGGCATGGTAATGGAAAGAACAGGCGAGGCTGAGGGCAGGTGCAATAGTAATCTGAGAAAGGGAGAAGAAGAAGAAAAGATGGCTTCACTTGATCAATGGGATTAATTAGAATTATTACATACATAGCCAACGTCCCTGTTTTCGTAAATTCGCGTCACTTTTTTAATTGCAGGATCTCGATGGAATACGCAGAGGTGAGGTCAAAAGCCAAACCGCGCGCCGCGCATAAGTTAAACACAACCATAAAAGCTGTCACAAATATTAAATATTTCACCCTGATACCATCCAAGGTTAAGTTTCCAAAGGGGATACCGCGCGATCACGCTGACTGTGATATATTGGCCAGCACGGGCTTCCGTGAGGAAGATTTATGACCGCCTTTAAAGCCGAATTAACTGTATTTGATGTGGATAAATAAATAAATAAATAAATAAATAAATAAATAAATAAATAAATAAATAAATAAATAAATAAATAAATACAGTGAGCAGGCTTGAATCGCTTTTGTAAAGAGAAGTCCAAATACACACGTCACTACATATAGGCTACATATACAATTTAATGTTTGCACTTTCTGACACTCTGGTGCAAATTTTAGGAACTCCATCAGTGTGAATCAGCCCTCTTTGCTATCCAGGACTCCGTATATGTGGGGCTCGAACACTGATTTCTAACAACCCTCCACATTATATGGCAGAATGTGCCACATACTTCACACCTGCACCCTGAATAGCGGCTCCCTTTCAGACCGTGATACGCCTGTTGGCCCTGCGCTCAATGCAGCTGCGTGAGTGAATCGGGCGACCCGCTTATTTGCTCTCTTTTGATCTGAGATCTCTCATTTGGTGCGGCAGTTCTGAGTTGAGGACTATCTAGTTAGCAGGAGCCGTGTGATGACTTGTATTATTCCCCACACACACACATACACTTCCCCCTCCCACCCACTCCTTCAACAAGCAGATTTTACACATGCGTGAGGAAGAGAACTTGTTGCCTCAACTGGATGGAGGTTTAGTTCAAATGTCGCCGGAGTCTATTCAGACAGAATGCGTGCGCTAGGAAGGGGAGACATGCGTTAAAAAGAAGAGAGAGAATTGACGTCTACGTGTGTATTTATTCGGGCTGTTTCAGTTCTCCCGGTCTCTGTATTTATCGAGGTCAGAAAAGAGTTGAGAATGTCATATTAAACCAAAGCTGTCAGTTTTTTTTTTTTTTTTTTTTTTTAGCCAATGTGGTCAACCCCAGCAACCTCTGAGGCACAGTTAAAGATTAATAGACGTCTTTAAGTGTCCTTTGAACTTTCACTTTTTAACTACCAACCCAGAAGGGAACCTGTTTGATCAAATGGAGACTGTACGTAGTTTGATTATTGTAATATAACTGAACATGAATGACGATGAAATTGAAATGATTCTTCTCCAGCACATTTCCATTTGGCTTAAATGGATATTTGCTATAATTTCGAGCTTTATAGGCAAGAATAAATCCATAAATCAACTAAAACAGCTACACCTTAAGAATATGAAAATGACACAATTTTACTCTTTAACTTTTTGCCACATTCTTAATGCGTTTTTAGATGACAACAATAGTAAATTGGTCCTGCCTTCCTCCGGCGTTTTACTTTTTTTCTCTGTGTCCAGTTTTCTTTTTCTTTTTTTTTTTTAAGAAAAAAAGAGTAGCTATTTAAAC